CTTTTTCATCTAAGAAACTTACCAGTTGAATATTTTGACGGAATGCAGTTTCTTCAATTAAGACTGCTAAACCCCCTCCCATTAAGGCTTAAGGCAATGCTGACTGTGCTTCCCACAGCTGTTGATTCTTAGAAAAGATACTCTGACTTGATGGCGTTGAATCAGAGATCAGTGCTGCACTAAATGCTGCTGCATAAACACATGGAAACACGGGTGGTTGCCACTAAAATTTCTGTCAAATCTGAGGTAGACAGTAGTTTTATTGACTAGTGGTTTTACGTGTTTTTACAAAGGTCTTCAGGTCTCGAAATCAATTTTGCTTAAAAGAACGTTTGCTTCATTTGAAATTGGTTAATATGGTTTCAAGCAAATTCCTGTCTATTTTTATTTGGATAATCAAATCTTTGTTTACTGTCATCATTGCTCAGGAGTGCCGCCAATATCTGAGGCATTAAATTATTAAAAATTAAATTTTGCATTAAAATAAACTGCTTTGGACTGTTTTTCTGCGATATTTTGGCCATTAAGTTTTACATCGTGATTATACTTGAAAGTGGTCTGTGACGTTTGTAGTTGCTGTCAAACTTGCATAAAATGCTATGGCAATGTTCCTTTTTTAACCGCAATAACACGTTTTATGGTTGATCGGTAATTTTGGTTGGTAAACCTTCCAAGAGGAAGCTTCTGTTGCAGCTCGCTGAAAGTTTGACGTGACTGACCGTTGCTTACTCGTCTGGAACTGTCCGTTCAGAACCTAGAGAAGCGTATTTCATGGCTTAGGCGATGTGCATTCACTCTCTGATATGCCATTCCAGTTAAATTTTAGCAGGATTGCTCTAGGACCAAAAACTAATAGCCCAGTTTAAAGTATTCTGGTGAATTGAAATTTCCGAAAGCCGCTTGTAATGATCAGTAGGCAGCGAGAAAGTCGAGGACTTTACCACATTATTCATGATGTGATTACTGTTTAACTCTTCTCTGGGTGTATGTATAGAACGATTACTACCTGCAGGGCTGCAAGCGAATCAATGTCACCGTTATAAAAAAATATAGTATGCTCTCGCAGCAATGACAATCAGAAAATAACAGATTTTCTCACTCATGTCCAATTGTATCTTTAGAAGAACATCATTAATAGACTCAGCAGTTGAATAACGGGAAATAGTGGTTTGTTTGTAAAACGAAGGGCGGCATGTTATCATGGTGTGGTGATTGCAGAAAATGCGAATCATCAACATCGAATGCCTGTTGCGTTTGCCCTGCATTAGCAGTTTCCTTAGCCGACCTGCTGTTGAATTAAAATGGTAAAATTAAGCGTAGCCTGTACACAGATATTTCCTTGGGAAGTAAGAGGGGTTACAACTGTAACCACTCAGACTGGTTTTGTGTTAATGATGTTCTAAACATTATTGGACATGAGTGAGAAAATCTGTTATTTTCTGATTACAAAAAAAATCATTGCCGCATTAGCATACTGCATGTGCTTATGACAGACTTTCACTAGTACATGCTGACAGATACATACATGTCCCTACCGGTTAATCTCTTATCATTAGTCATTTTAAGCCTTGCATTCGATGCTGAAGATCTAGAATTTTTACTTACGGAGCTGGATTGCTTAGGTTAAACAATGCTGCAGTCGTGTGCATATTTTTTTATAATAGTGATATTCATTGGCTTGTAACCTTATAGGTGATAGTCGCTTTATACATACTCCCAGGGAACAGCTGAATGTTAGTCACATCTTGAATGCTGTGGTAAAGTCCTACTTTCTTGCTGCCTGCTGACCATTTAAAGCGGCCATTTGGAAATTTCAGTTGATCCGAGTACTTCATACTAAACTATTAGTTATTGGTCCTAGAGCAGTGCTGCCAACATTTAGCTTTAGCGGCCTATCAGACTGTGAATGTACATACCTTAAGCCAGGAAATACGTTTGTGCTTGAATGAACTAGAATTGTTGGTTTACGTTAAGTGCAACTTTTTTGGAAAGCAGTATTTCTTTCATGCTCTGTAGTTTTCAGTTATATAGCTTCCTACGTCGAAAATAATAAGTTATATTACAATATCTTGTGCAAGTGTTCATTGCCTATGCAGTGCACATATAAAAATATGCTAATAGTACTGCCTAAAGAAACAACACCGTTGATTGGGAACCTGTTTGCGTGGCCACCGAATTACGAAAATAGGCGTAAGATGCATCGCTCCACCGCAGATGTTGAAAATCCATTCAACAAGAACTTGCTTACGCTTAAGGCACGCAGTAACAGGGTGACTGTGTAATGACATGGTGTAAACTGATTCAGTTGAATTATGTTTGAAAAACGGGTCACTTTGTGTCAGTTGTGTGAGGGTGCAGTTGAACTGGGTGTTATTGATTTAAAACATTGAACGAGGTTTCACGCGACAGAACTAGTTTTATTCAGGCGCTTATGCTGAATGATCAGCTTGAGAAGAATTGCCGTGCATCCGTTAAATAGCCAGCGCACGATCAGCAGTCCTCGCGAGAATAATTGTCTTGCAATTTACATTTTCTGTAAGATTTTGTGCAAATACCTACTTGTCTCAATCACTATTATGCACTATTTACAAGGGAATCGAATGTTCATCTTACCACTGATTTACTAGCGTTCCTTATGCTGCTCTGATCTTTTGGCTTTATTTATTAACGCTGATTACTTTATCGCATTACTTAGCTCTCTAAAACTAATTTAAGCGATTATTATGAAATTAACACTAGCCCTCCAGTTAACGACAGCCCAACCGATCAGGACGAACCTACGCCGGTAGCCTCTTAGATCCAATGTTCTAACGTAACCTTCAGTTGGAAAAATTGCTTTGTCGTATGCGTAAGCTTTCTCTGGAATATATCTTTTTCTAAAAGTTACCTCATCCTCTAGCAACACACTTTAAGCATTCTTATAACATTGTGAATAGTAAAATTAAGTTGTCATAATGTGCATGCAGAGTTGCCTAGTTTAACTTTTGCAGTCGTAGTAACTGTCGTGTTTTTATTTTTACGTGAAGCAATTAAAGTTAAAATTTTTAGATGGATCATTTCGCAGGCGAAGAAAGAAGGCGTTGATGAAAACATTGCAAAATACAACGGTGAATGATTTATGAACGTTGGAGTTGATTATGTTTTCTTTTTAATATATGAAGCTTTCTTTATCTCAAGGGAGATGGCATATGGATCTCTGGATCTCCTGAACGACCAAAATGCCATTGTCTGGAGGATTAAATCGTGCTGTTTGACAAGAGTCTAGTGTCAGTTGTTTAGGGGGTACAAATTCGTAACAGCAGCATTCCAGTGCTGATTACCACAGTCTGACATTTCGGTCATTTAGGATGATCATATCCTATCGTCATTCTGCGTAGATGCATGTGAATCTTAGGGCGAGTGGTTGGTTCTGAATGTATGCTGGTCCCCTGTTGTTCATTGCTAGCAGGCAGTGAAGTTGCGATGTAACGCTATCAGTGGTCTCGCTGTCCCTTTTGAACGACAACTGCGTGTAGTACGAGACCGAATGAGAAGTTATCGAGCTGCTAGGTCATCTTTCATATCAACGGGACTATTACTGGAAGCTTATGCACGCATTACCAATCTGATACAGTTGATATCTGTCTTCTCAAGTGCCCAAGTTCTGAGGTTTTCTACTGGGACTCGTGTTCTTTGGAGGTTTTAGAAAATTGGGCATATTTTGATCTAGAGCGGGATGGAACTGTGGGCATATATTGTCACGCCCATTTAAACTAACATTTATACTCTGCATAATTTATACCAAGTTGGCAGTGAAGTGGAAGCGGATTGTTTCAGTTTGCGAAGAGTAATTTTACAATAATCAAAATAAATGGAACACCCCAGTCTTCTGGTGTTACTAGCTAACTGCTAGTTTTCGATACAGTCGGTTCGAACAATGATTTGCTGTCATTTCTCCCGATTTACGCGACTTAGTCGCACCGTTTTGCTTCTAGTTGCCTAGGGGTCAGTTTAACAGGGCACGGCTCCATTTTATTTGAGCACCTGCAGTGAATGGATATAAAGACGCATCACTCTGTACGGCTGAACAGAAAACTGTTCGTAGGCACCTATGCATTTACATACGAATAACCCCGGTATTATGAGGTTACTAACAAACTGATTGTTTTGGATTCCGTGTGTAAGGATAAAAATCCCTTGTGAGTTCTTGCGATTAACACTGCGAAATCACATTGACGCCTTGCTTCCAGTAGCCTACGGGATCGTTTAATCTGGCCGCGGCTCCATAGTATTTTAGCCCCAGCAGTGTATGGATGCAAGAGGGAATGGGACTGCACAGTGTAAATCCAGAGAATTGAAAAGATTGTTTTTCTTACTGGCGGTATTCAAAACTTACTAATAGACCCGTGGTGCCTGAGTGATTTTTATGTATGTATGCGTGCAGACAGTGTCATTTCATTACGTGTCTGAACAAGCTTTTGGTTTGCCTTTCTTTGAGAAGCAGTTTTGTAGCAATGCAGTGCAGGTGTTTATCTGTTTTGCAGCATTGACCCGGTTAAATAGTCCTCTGAGCTACCAGAAATAAGAAAACGGTGCGACTACATCGTACAAATCTGGGCAATTGACAGGAGATGAAAATATTTCACACTTCTTTTATCTGAGGTCTTCATGGAGTTCTCTCTTTTACAGTTCGTAATTCAAGGATAATGACACTGCTTGCAGCACAGTGTTGTGATAAAAACTTATAACTTTCGTCGAAAGAATGATAGTCACTTGGTGCTCCCCTCTGTTTTACACAGCGTTTCTCCATGATAGCGATATGTTTGATGCTCAGAGAGTCAAATCTTG